ATAATAACTATAGGATCTAAGAAAATGTACAACAGAGTCTCAGTGTGGCACTGAAGACAAAAATTAGCTTTTTGGCACTTGTCTTGTAATGAACTGAAGGTTTATGTCTCTCCCACATTCATATATTGAAGCCTAATTCCCAGGGTGATGGTATTTGGAGGTGGGGACTTTGGGAGACAATTACATCTTGAGGATAAAGCCCTTATGATAGGATTAGTGCCCTTATAAGTGGAGACATAAGAGGGATGATTTTGTTCTCCCCTCAACCCATGTAAGCAAGAAGGCAGGTGGCTGTCTGCAAATCAAGAAGTGAGTCCTCACCAAGAGTCTGACCATGCTGGCACCCTGATCTTGGATTTCCAGCCACCAGAACTGTAGGACATTTGTTGTATAAGCCACCTAGTTTATGTTATTTTTGTCATAGCAGCTCACACTAGGATACGCCTTTGATAGTTTAAAAAAAGAAAAAAGACAGTCTTCTTGAAAAGCAGTATGATAAATCTCTAGAAGCCACTAAATAATGTCTTTTGTCAGTTGTCCCCAAGGAAATTATATTATTGTTTCATGAAAAGTCAAAATAGAAGAAAAGAAAAAAAATTTCTTAAAGGAACAGGAAATCTTTGATTGTCTTCACAATAAATAACAAACCAAATTCTTCTAAGAAGAACAAAGAGTTAAAATTTACCTTTCTTTCTTAATCATTGCCAAATACTTGGTATTTCTCAAGCATTCCTTCACAGAAGACATTCTCTTGCCAGATAACTCTGCAAGATATGCCAGAAGAGAAACATCTGCTTTCCACATTTGGGACCACTTCAGCAGGTTTTGCAAGAGAAACCTCAATCTGAGGTCAAACCCTTGTAAAAACAGTCTCTGGCACAGTTCATGTGGCTGCAACATGGAACAAATTGAGAGAAAACAAAATTGAACCGACTGGAAGATGTGGCCTCAAATAAGATGTCAATTTTCCACAAGCCAAATCCTGCCAAAAAGAAACCAGGTCAGTCATGGAAGCTCACACCTGTAATCCCAGCAGTTGGGGAGGCTGAGGTGGGAGGATTGCTTGAGGCCAGGAGTTTGAGAACAGCCTGGACAACATAACAAGACCCCATCTCTACAAAAAAAAAAAATAGCCAGGTGTTGTGGCCTGTGATCCCAACTACTCAGAAGGCTGAGGAGAATCACCTGAGCACAGGAGGTCAAGTGTGTAGTGAGCTGTGATCATGCCACTTCAAGCCAACCTCAGTGACAGAATGAGATACCAACTCAAACACCACCACCACAAACAACAACAACAAATATCAGGAACAATGTCAGTAGCTGAAAATAACCCACAAATATTCCACTTTGCTCTTCTACGATTGACAGGTCTATGAAGAGAAGAGTGATTTCTGCACCGCATGACAACGTAAACTCTTTCCAACTCAGTCTGAAAAATAAAACAAACAACTTCTGCAAATATTTATCAAGCACTGTATTCGTTTGCTAATACCACAGACTGGACAGCTTAAATCATAGAAATTCATTTTCTCACGGTTCTGCAGGCTAGAAGTCTGAGCTCAAGCTCGGTTTCTTCTGAGGTCTCTCTCCTTGGCTGGTAGATGGCAGTTTTCTCCCTGTGTCTTTATGTGATTTTCCTTCTGTGTACATCCGTCCTAATTTCTAATTATAAGGACACCAGTCATATTGGATTAGTGTGCACTAAGTGGCCTCATTTTAACCAAATCACTTATCTCCAAATTCAGTCATATTCTGAGGTTCCGGGAGATAAAGACCTCAACCTATGAATCTGAGGAGGACACAACTGAGTCCACAACAAATACATTCGAGGTACTGGTACTACGTACAAACTAGCAGGCTTAATTGGTTCATTTTTCTACAGAAACACTAATCTGAAAAGAAATGAACCATTTTTGCCTCAGGAGGTGACAAATGGAACTCAAACTGATTCACATTCAAAAGAGGGAGCTGTCTGTTGTGATGAGATCTTCCATAGGAAGCTGACCCAGAGGATACTGGTGGTCACACACACATGCATACTGGTGTGGGCCTCCAAGCTGGCCATCATGAGCTCTACATCCTGGCCAGTCCATTCCTCAGTGATGTGACCACGTTTCTGTTGGTTCTTCTTTCAGATACAGTCCCAGAGACTCATTCTGCTAGGCAAGTTCAGTCCATTTGTTTGCTGCCTCTGAGAGTCCCAATTTATGACAAGGTTTTCTGAAAGTATGGATAATTTGGTTGGTGATAAGAAAACTACATCGCAGGGGGTGGGAGAAAAAAAAAAAAAACTACATCGACTTCAAAAAATAACCTGTAAAATGTTATGTCAGGTTTTGCCTCTCTCTTTACAATAAAATGAAAGTGCCAAGAATGTAGCCCTAGTTTAGGGAATACAAGACACCCTATGAATGAAAAATGGGTTCTCGCGGGGTGCAGAGGCTCAAGCCTGTAATCCCAGCACTTTGGAAGGCTGAGGTGAAAGGATTGCCTGGGTCCAGGGGTTCAAGACCAGCCTGGGCAACTTGGCGAGACCTCATCTCTACAATAAATCAAAAAACAAGCCGGGTGTGGTAGCGTGCGCTTGTAGTTCCAGCTATTTGGAAGACTGAGGTGGAAGGATTGCCTAAGCCCAGCAGGTCAAGTGATGGCCATGAGCATGCTACTGCACTCCAGTCTGGGTGACAGAGTGAGACTTCAACTCAAAAAACAAACAGAAAAATGGGTTCTCTTCTAATTTGTAACTCAGCAGGGGCATAATTGGTTTTACTTCTTCATAGTTTTCTATTCTCTCTGAAAATCTAAGAAGCTAAATGCTCTTGGCTCTCAATCAAGTCCTTTCTGTCTCTAGGCACCATTCAATATTCATAGTTTTGGTTGTTTTTTTTTTAATCAGGCAACTATCATTTCATGTCCTCTTGGTCTATTACTGTACATTTGAATTATGTATAAAGGATACATGAATATAATTTTTTTCCTTTGATGAAGGATATCAGGATATCATGGTGTCTTTAAGTGCTAGGACACTGAGGTTAACGCTACTCAGGAAAGAGTGGGTTGACTGTCAGTCAGCCTTACAGAGTTCATCTGTCCTTAGCTATGGTGGCCGTAGACTAATGTCCCCATGCACGGGGCATGCCAAGCTCCTGAAGTCTGAAACCAGAACTTTCCGAGGCTGTAAGCTGCCATATAACAGGAATAAGTCACTGATCTGCCCATAATAGATTCTTCAAACAGAACGAATACAAACTGAATCAGAAATCTGGGTGGCATGATACCACACTGAGGAATAGAAAAGTGGGGAGGAATATTAACCCATCCAAGTATGGGAATACCACCACTTAAAATGCAGAAATCACTGAACTAAACACTGGGTGCTAGTACATGCAAATATTGTTTAGGCAACTCAGATATGATGTCAGGAAGAATGCAAAGTCTGGAAAAGCTATGACTGGTGTATAAGACACTAGGGAGAGAGAAGATTAGATAGGATTCATTTGGCCCCGCCAGGAAAAAAATCCTTAAGACCCAGGGAGAGGTGGCTGGAGAAGGAAACTTAAAAGTTGAAAAGAAAAGAGAAGAAAGCTAGACTACAATAAGGTAAGACCCTAAAGAAGGAGAAGGGAGACTAAGGCTGGCTGTGGTGGCTCACGCCTATAATCCCAGCATTTTGAGAGAAGCTGAGGCAGGAGGATTTCTTGAGCCCAGGAGTTCAAGACCAGCCCAAGTAACATAACAAGCCCTCACCTCTTTAAAAAAAAAAAAAAAAATATATATATATATATGTATATAATATATGTATGGAGATATATATTTTATATATTATATATGTATGGAGATATATGTATAAATATATATTAAATAGTATATATATTATATATATATATATATATATTAGCCTGTTCCTGTAGTCCCAGCTACTTTGGAGGCTGAGGTGAAAGGATCACCTGAGTCCAAGAGGTTGAGGTTACCAATTGTGTACTCCAGCTTGGGTGACGGAGAGCCTGACTCAAAAAACAAAAAAAAGTGGCGGGGGGGGAGCTAAGAGCAATCAGAAGGTTCTCGGTCAAGGAAGGGGCAGTCAGTTCAGGATTTCACGAGTGCCTGGGAGCAATTTGTGACAAGGTTAAGGTTTTACCTGTTGAACCAGTCTTCAGTGTCCTGAAGAATATTTACATATTCCAGAGAACTCAACAATACTACTTCCATTCTTCCCTCCTCGTAGTTGCAGTTATATTTCCCCCTACATTGTTTCCATCTTCAGGTTTTTCCTACCTATTCAACTTGCTAACAGAGTATCCAAGTCTCCTATTCCTTCTATTTCATCTGTATCTTTTGACCCATGAAACTGCTTTCATTGTCTAGGTACCAGTCACAAATGCTGTTCCAAGCCTTGGTCATAAATTTGCCTTCATGTCACTCTGTCAATTTCAAACTTATTTGATTCCCATTCTCTGTGAATTAACCTATGTATGGGGACCTGTAATGAAAAGTATTCTAAATTATTATTTAACTTATTCTTTTTGGCTGTGAATTGTCAGCTACCTCTATGCCTCATCTTTTCTTCATCACCCTGTTGATTTTCCCAACAACGCACTTTATACTTTTATCTTATTTTATTCTTCTCTCAATCTTCTCTTCTTTTAGTCTTCTAAATCAAGCTAATGAATTGTCTGCTATCCCAGGCCTTCTACATCTGATCCCCAAGTAGAAGCCTGTTGTTCTGGTAGCCCACGCTATGATTCACTGCAGACATGTCTCACCAAGTGGGGGATTTCAAGACACTGAAAACAAAGAATGAGCTCTACCAACGGCAGCCATATTTCCTACACATGGCAGCTGCTCACCTTCTACCCCAGAGAAAAGCTGCAGAAACAGATGGTGTGCCTTGGAGACTATAAGTACTCAAAATTTCTTGCATGTGATTACATTTTATGTTGAGTAAAAATAATACAGAAAAACATCTAAAGGTTTAGAATGCATGCAGAGATTTCTATAAGTACCAGACCTGTTGTTGCAGCACAATTTATTATCTGGTCATAGTATTTGGGTATATTAATAGGCATAATTTAACACCATGTAACCTCTCATGACACGGAGCAACCCAAAAAAGAAAACTTCAAAATGTGCAAGAGCAATAAATATCAAACTTTCTGATCTAAAATGTATAAATATAAAATATCAGTCTTTTCTGGAAACATCTTAAGAAAATCCGGCGGCCACATGTCCATGGGCAGGTGTCTGATGTTGATGGTGCTTGGATTTGGAACATATCACCTCAGATCCAAAACAATTATTTTCATGTCTTTTACCAACACATGTTCGCATATCTAGGAAAGAAAAAATTGGTTTTACATCACAATGTTTAACATATGATTTTCTTTAGGGAGGGCGTATAGATTTTCTCATTTAAAATTGTTTCTAATTTTAAAACTATTTCCAATCAGAACAAATATAACCACATTTATTCATTTTTAATAAGAAAATATTTAGAGGTTGCCAAGTAACTTTCATTTTAAATAAATTCTAACTTCAAAGTAAAGTTTCTCTGATGTTACAACCACAGAACCTCCAAGCAAAGTTAGAAGAAAAAAAGATGTAATCAAATAACGTTTCTTTTGAACCACACAAAGCTAATTAAGAAGTTTTCATTGAATTGTTATGGAAACATGAATTTGGTCATATCAAGCAGAAAGAACTCATGTGATATTTAATAAATTTTTCTAATAATTGTTTACTTATTTGGACTCTGAAGAATACTTTATCACACAAATACAAGTACAAGGTAACTTTGTACATCATCAACCCTGTTATGGAGATATTAACATTTCCTTGTAAATAAAATAATATTAAAAAGAGCCAGGCATGGTGGCTCATCCCTATAATCTCAGCACTTTGGGAGGCTGAGGCAAAAGGGTTGCTTGAGCTCAAGAGTTCGAGACCAGCCCAGGCAACATAACGAGACCTCATCTCTACAAAAAATAAAAAAATTAGTTGGGTGTGGTGGCACACACCTATAGCCCCAACTACTTTGGAGGCTGAGGTGGGAAAATCCCCTAAGCCCAGGAGGTCAGGCCATAGTGAGCTGTGATCATGCCTGGGCAACAGAGTGAGACCCTCAATTCAGAAAATTAATAATAATAATATTAATAAGAAATCAGAAAAAGGTACAAAGGTTGATTGATGTTCCGAGATGAACTAAGCAGTATAGTATTTTATCTCATTATTTCTTTCCTGCAAACTAAGCAGTATAGTATTTTATCTCATATTAGATGGGTACTATTTCTTTCCTTAAAAAGAAGGTGGCAGGGGCAGTGAAAAATAAATAATCTGCACAAATAAGTAATGTGATATACTCACACTGAACAGCCTGGGCTCATTGGTGTGTGGATGAAAGTCCTTTTTTTTACAAGCAGAAACCTCAATCATGCCAGCATTGGTGAGCCTGAAGATGCCAGTGCTGCATTTCAGGGTGAAAAAAAGGTATAGATATTAAGGGTTGTTTGGGCTTTCCAGATGTTTCATTTGAATGGCACAAGCACACATATTCCTCAAATAGAATGAAGAAACCACATATTAGAAGTTCCAGTGATTTTTTTTTTTCAGCCAATCTTTCAATGACTAGAGGAGGGAAACCAGGAAAAGGCAGTGCTACCTTTAAGAGCCTGTAGTGGCTGGGCACAGTGGCTCAAGCCTGTAATCCCAGGACTTTGGGAGGCCGAAGTGAGAGCATTGCCTGAGCCCACGGGTTCAAGACCAGCCTGGGCAACTTGGCGAGGCTTCATCTCTACTCAGAAGGCTGAGGCGGAAGGATCGCCTGAGTCCAGCAGGTTGACGCTGGGGTGGCCATGAGCATGCCACTGCACTCTAGCCTGGGCAACGGAGTGAGACTTCAACTCAAAAAAAAAAAGAGCCTGTAGCACCTTAATGGAGACACAACAGCTGAACTGTTGTGAGATCTCAGAGAAAAGTCGAGGTCCCATGGAAGGAAATCACAAGTGGCAGATATTTCTCACTCTTCTAATAATGTTAATACCGTTTATAGCAATAGCAATCAGCAATATGTATTGAGTGCCTGCAGTGGTGCCAGGCATGGTCATTGGCCCCATAAAGTTCACTGCAAAAATCACTGGCACAAGGCGGATTGGAAAATAGGAGAAAAGGCATACCAACTTTATTTAATGCATATACACAGGACCCAACTTCCCAATGAGTTACAGACACTTAAATACCATTCTGATGTTGCAGAAAAAATGGGGGCTTGGATTCTGGTAAAACAGGTTATGGAATGGGGAAATAGAAGAATTCTGTTGAGGGACAACACATGATTGGGAGAATGTACTCATGTGGGGAACAAAAAAGGACGTGTGCTCTCCTAGGACGTTGAGTGAACCCAGAGACAGGCATTACGTTGTGAAATGGTTAGGCCTGGTCTGACTACACCCTTCTTCTCCTTTCCTGTGATAGGCAATGAGATAACAGGGAAGAGAAGGAAAAGCCATTGTTCTCCTGGGTGGGTGCATGACACCTTTATGAAGACAGGAAAAGTCTCTTCCGAGGCCTGTTCATTCTTAAGAGTTTTTAACTCAAAATGCTTATTATACCAGTGAGCCATATTTTGAGGTGAATTTCCCTGAACTCTCCCACACTTTGGATGGACTATTAATCTAATTTCATCTTCACATCAATCCGTGATGGACAGATATTTGGGGTGACAAAGCTGAGGTCCACAGTGGTCAGGTTTCATGCTCAACAATCTACTTGATGTTGGAGCTGAGATTCCAATATAAGTTTGTCTGATTCCTATGCTTGTACTTACTCTACAATAATCATTGTCTCCCAAAGCTGGTAAGGTGTTATAGATAATTAAGCTAAGGCTGGAACATTTCTTATGACAGAACATAATACAGTATCACTAAAATCTCTAAAGGCAGACTGGGATAACATCCTTCTTAAATGTGATCCACTTCAAGGTAACACTATCTGAGGAAAGAAAACCACTCATTTTACCACTGAAAGGACATAAAAAGCAAAAGACTGCAGAGGTCTATGGAAGCCACTGCCATCTGTCATTTGTTCCCAAGAGAGTCATGGGCTTGCCTATCCTGGTGCCTGGAAACACATGAACCTAGCAGCTCCAGACCAACCTCTATTTGGGCTCCCCTCAGTCTTTGCACTCACTCTTTATGCTTTGGTGAACAAACGATGGCAATTGCCTCAGGCAACATAAGCTGGTAAGAGCAGTGAGTATGAAGATCCACACTGGATAAGAATGCTGTTTGGGTGGGATGTGTCTGTAAGAAGAAAAGAAGACAGCCTTAGCAGGGAAGCTGGGTCTTAGACCACTCTAAGAGGAAATTCTATTTATTTACTTCTCTCTTTTTTACCATCCTTAATCAAATAAGGTTTTAAAAAAAGGTTTTGCCAACAAAGTACTTCTCCCTTCCTGAGCTCCTATTATTTGCTTCTTTGGAATAGTATGACTTAGAGAAAAGGCTCCCAGGTGTGTAAGTGCACTTTCTTCTGGTTGGGAGTGAAAGAGCTGGACAATCATTTGCCAGAAGCATTAAATAGAGACTCATATAATTACCACAACTCATCTATGAAATGCTTGTTTCAGTATCTCAGTTTTAGAGACAAGGAAACTTGGGGATGTCATGTGACCTGCCTGTAGTCTACAGGGGTAAAGAGCAGAGCTGTGCTTGGAAACCCTGAACCAGAGATAATTTACAGACAAAACCATAAACTTTAAAAAACAGTTTTCACTAAATATATCACGTGTTGCTGTGAATCTTTTTGTGAATTGTCATTTCCTATACAAGGGGGACCCAAAAAAACCCGGAATTTATTTATAAAAAATTGTGTATTTATTCTTACATATTTAAACTTCAGTTACTTCCAAAGTACTCTCCATTTGATGCGATACACCTACCGAGACACTTTTTCCACTGCTCAAAACAGTTTTTGAACTTGTCGATTTTTATGCCTTTTAGTGCTTCTGCTGTTTTTTTGTTTCATCTCTTCCACCTTAGCAAAACGTTTCCCTCTGACGACTTTTTTCATCCGAAGAAGCAAAAAAACAGTTGCTCAGGGCTGGGTTGGGTGAATAGGGAGGGTGTGGCCTGGAGGTCATGGTGTTTTTGGACAAAAGCTGCTAAGCATTCAGCACAATATGGGCAGATACACTATCATGGTGAAAGAGTCAGTCACCTGTTGGCCACAACTAGGTACATTTCTTCTACAACCCAGTCTCTCACAACAACACTAGCTGATACACTGATGCCAGTGGTTCCTAGAACACTTAACTAACGAGGGAAGCCTACACTTCAAGGGGCCCACCCTCTAAAAGATAATTCTGGTTTTTTGGGGGTCCACCCTGGTAAATGGGAGAACAGGAGTCGCCATATTGTTGGAGGCATCTGGGACTCCTCTGCACAAACAGCAGCTAAAAACTCATGTGATGAGAAAGAAGAGAAGATTCTACATTAAAAGAAATCTTCCGAGTTTCTGGCTACATACAACTTTGTGTTTATACAAAACAAATCAGAGGTTCATATTGGAATATGAATGATGCATGCATACATAGTGATTTAAAATGTATATTAAAGCCTAATTCTCCTTGAAAAAGGAATGTGATCATTTTAGTCATGAAATAAAGATCGGGGCACACATTGTCAGGGAGTGACCTCCATTACTCATTGGCTGTATGACACTGAGGTTACTTAACTTCCTCTTGCTCATTTTATCATTTGTGAAATAGAGATAAGAACCATTTTCTTCATAGGATTTTTATGAAGATTAAATGGGACAGTTTGTGTAAAAGTCTTATAAGAGTGCTTAGCACATAGAAAGGAATCAAAGTTATTAGCTGTTGTTATTGCTGTTGTTTTCACTATTATTACTATTACTATTACTATTGGGTTGTGGACTCACTCTGTCACCCAGGCTGAATGTGGTGGCATGGTCATGGGTCACTGCAGCCTTGAACTCCTAGACTCAAGCAATCCCTCCCTCCTCAGTCTCCTGAGTAGCTGTGAATACAGGTGTGCATCACCAAGCCCAGCTAAATTTTTTATTCTTTGTAGAGACTAGGTCTCACTATGTTGCCTCGGCTTATTGGTGTTATTTTAATGTTGTCATTGTTAACTAAAGAGCATAGGCCATAGTAATTAGCTAAATTCCTTAACACAAAACTCTGTTCTACTGAGGAAATGCAAAATTTTAAAACTTTTTTTCTGTTGTATTTCATAAAATGTAAGTAAAATTAGCTAGTTTTTTAAATAGAAAGACACATGTTCTGCAAGAAAGATACAACTTTTGGTCTAAAAAGACTTACATCAACAGAGGAATGAAAATTATCCTAACAAATGCACATTTTGGCAGGGGGTATGAGTGGGAGTGTCTGACAGCCCGCTCTTCGATAGAGAATACCTTCTCTTAGTAAAACAGTAAAATAGAGTCTTCAGTGTCTGCATGAGAATGGTAAGAAGTGTTCAAAGGAACTCTGGTGCTGTGGAGGCAGCAAGCAGGTTCCAGATAAACCACTCTGCCTGTCAATTAATTTCCAGACTGAATGCACATCACATGACTTTTGGAGTCCTTTATATCTGCCAAGAGTAATCACGTTTATTTCAAAGAGGGCAGCCTTCTCATGGGAGAACTCCGCTTCCATTCCCTCACTCTATGGAAATGACAATGATGATAACGATAACAGCAGATGCCATCTATTGCAGCTAAATAAACTAACAAATCGCCATGAGTTATATTACTGAATCCTCACAACAAGAAGACAAGTGCTATTATTATCCTTATTTTACTAATGAGAAAACAGGTCAGCAGGGCAGTAATCAACTTGCTGATGCTCATACAGCTAGGCTGAGCCAAAAAGACTAAATTCAAATCCAGGTCTGTCTGGTTTCCATTCAGATCTTCTTCTCTATGACTAGCTATTTATATGTAGGGGAAAAAATCAGCTCTAGAATTTGTGGCTATGATTATGCTCAATAAAAACCAGCACAAAAAAAGTCATTACAATCACTGAGGTTTGGAAATGTAACATTTTTGTATCATCATCAAACCACAACAACTTGACATGGTGAAATAAATTGAACTAACCATCCTAGAATTATGCCAAATGTATTATTTTAACGACGTAATTTCATAATTACAAGCATTAAATACACAGAAAGTCATAAAGAAAAAAATTGTGTTTCTAATTTGGGAAATGCTTAGTAAGATAAACGAACATTGACTTGTGTGTGTATAATTTAATAAATTGTCATTCTTTTTTTTTTTTTAAGGTTTTCAGACAAAGTTTATTAGAGAAAGAAGAGAAAAAGGAAGCTTCATGGCAGAAAGACCTGCCATGGGCAAGTTTTTCAAAGAAGAACATCTGCCAACTGTCATTCTTAATGTTACAATTTCTTTGCTACAATTTGTTTTGCTTTAAAAATGCATTCTTGTTACAGAAATCACATTAAGCTAAATAACGCCTTTAAAATATAGCAATTTCCAAGCCAACAGTAATGCATATTACTCACTGTTAAGTAAACAGACAAATGCAAAGTTTTGCACATTGTTCATTATAAATAATGCTGTACATCTGAGAGGCAGTTTATATTTTTCAAATAGCCTTCACACCTGGTATCTTGTTTCCTGCTCATACACATTCAGTAAGGAGAGAAGGCCTTCATTAGCCTCACTTAGTCAGTGAAGAAACCTGGAAACAAGGAGGCTGGGTAGGAGTCCTGACTGAAAGCACACAGCAGTTTACAGGTGGAGCTGGGACTGAAGTCTCCTGTACCTTCCTCAATTATATAACACCAAATGCTTGGCAAATGAGAGAGAGAGAGAGAGAGGGAGAGAGCCTCTACCCAGTGCTTCTTTATAAAGCAAATAAAGTGTCAGGCACGTTAGCTCATGCCTGTAATCTCAGTACTTTGTGAAGCTGAGGCGGGCGGATTACTTGAACCTAGGAGTTCGAGACCAGCCTGGGCAACATAGCCAGACCTCGTCACTACAAAAACTAAACAAACTAGCTGAGCAGTGGTGCAGACCTGTAGTCCCAGCTACACAAGAGGCTGAGGCAGAAGGATCACCTGAGCCCAAAAGGTCAAGGCTGCGGTAAGCTGTGATTGTGCCATTGCACTCCAGCCTGGGTAACAGAGTGAGACTCTGACTCAAAAAATAAAATAAAATATGGCAAGTAAAATATAAAATGATCACTTATTCTTCAGGGGTTCTCAGCAATCCCCACATTAAATCCTGAAAATCTTCTGGTCAACATCCATCCCAGGGGGTCACTTGTCCTGACCTGCTATAGTTTGAATGATGGCATTCCCACCAATAGTCAGGTTGCAACTTAATCCCCAGTACAACACTATTAAGAGGCATGGCCTTTATGTGTTAAGTCATGAGGGCTCCATCGTCATGAATGGTATTAGTACACTTGTGAAAGGGCTCAAGGTTAGCAGTGCTCTTGCCTTTCTGTGTTCATCACAAGAAAACACTGCAGCAAGGTGTCACCTTGGAAACAGAGAGCACCCCTCATCAGACACCAGTGCTGGTGACTTGATCTTGGACTCTCCAACCTACAGAACTGTAAGAAATCATTTTCTGTTCTTTATAAATTATCCAGTCTCAGGTATTTTATTATAGCAGCAAGAACAGGTTAAGATGTTACTCTAGGCTCTGCTGTGTGAGACTGAGTGGGAAAAAAAAATGACCCCCAGATAGATTAAACTATGGATAGAAAGAGTAGCATGTCATTACCAATGATAACAGTTAAAAGGTTCTGAGGTCCTGGAAAAGAATGTGCTAAGAAATTCACTGACATTATTTCATTTAACACGCAAGTTCATAGAAAGTCAATTATTATAATCCTCATGTTGTGGATGATGAAACTGATGTTCAGATTGCTTTAAATAACTTGCCAATGTTCCTAAAGTGGATTCTTAGCAGAGCTAAGCTCATGTCTACTTTATCTGTAAATCCTTTCCTGCTCCTATGATGGCCTAGTGGATGTTGCAATCCAGTTTTTTTTTTTTTTTTTTTTTAGGCTCTAGCACCTTGCCCTACTCCATGATTGTGTATACAGTGGTGCTGACACCCTTGGTGTATAGGAAGGGTGTGGGAGAGTGTATGGACCCTCTTTGATATATACAAGCATCTGTTTAAAAGAAACATTTTTCAGAAATTTTCTTAAAACAATCTAGTTTTCGCCCATAGCAAAGGAAAGAGAACATTAACAACTGTCTAGTTAAAATCAGTTAACAATCTGGTTAGGCCTTCCTTTGACTATAAAATCATCAAACATGTTACCTAATTATCAAATGTTACTCTCTTTCTCTCTCTCTTTTGATATCCCTCTCTAGTTCCAGATTTGACAGATTTAGACACAGTCTAACATATAAAAAGATGCTTTCATATACTGACCTTTAAAAAAAATTTCTGCTACTTTTTCCTCTTTGTTTGAGATTCACTGCTTAAATGATGTCACCTTTATTACACTTGAAAAATTAAAAGTAAGAAGCTACTGCATTTAAATTAATTGTTTTAGGAGGAAACAGGACACCATACAAAAGTAAACTGAAACCCAAACGTACATGGATCCATCCCAGAGTCAGGAGATCGTGTTGATCCTGAACACTGAATAATTCTTCTACATTCTCCACGTCACAATAGTCTGGCCCTGCAGACTGCTTTGGCACGATTACATGGGTAATAGTAAATTCATTATGCGTCTAAAAAACAATTAGCAAAAAAGAATAACAAGCATCCAGAAGGGGAAAAAAAAACCTGAACAGGAAGTACAGTGTTTTGCTACACTATACCTACAACACTAGAGAGTACCCCTATCTCTGGCATGATCATTCCTGTACTTGGACACACACCATATCACAGTTAAAAAGCAAAGTCCCTTCTTTTTGTATTCTTTGAAATTCGGTATGTATTTTTCGCTTATGGAGCATCTGAATTCGAATGCTAAATTTACATCAGAAATCATTGCTCTGCAATTATATTTCATAAAATTTACAGTGAAAAGGTAGAATCACATAACCAAGTTGTTCCAAACATGTTTAAAAGTTGTCTGGTCATTAAATCAAGTATCAATTTAAAAATTTTAATTAGAACTAAAAAGAAAAGTTTAAAAAAATCAGTTTCTACTCATAACCCAAGTTTACTCATGAACAAACATCAAAATGGAGATCATTTTACAAAACTCCCAGCCAGTACTCCTCAAAACTGTCAAGGTTACCAAAGATAAGGAAAGTCTGAGATGCTGACAGGCAACTGTATGTAATGTGGTGTCCTAGATGGGATCCCAGAACCAGAAAAGGACATTTGAGGAAAAACAAAGGAAATATGAATAATGTCTGGAGGTTAGTTAATAGTACTGTACTGATGTTAACATTTATGTTTTGACAAGTATACTAAGATTATATAAGATGTCAATAGTAAAGAAAGTGGGGTGAAGGGTATATGTGAGCTCTCTTTACTATCCAAAAGTTTGAAAGCCAGTTGTTGAGAGCTTGAAACCCATTTGCACAACAGAAAGCATATCATAAGTAGGAATTAGCGGTCCAGGCTGGTTCATGGAAGTTTAGTTAATAAATAATGTCTTGGCCAGGTGCAGTGGTTCAAGCCTATAATCCCAGCACTTTGGGAGGCCGAGGTGAGAGGACTGCTTGAGCCTGAGGGTTTGAGACCAGTCCGCGCAACTTGGCGAGACCTTGTCTCCACAATAAATAAAAAATTAGCCAGGTGTGGTAGCGCACACCTGTAGTTCCAGCTATTTGGAAGGCTGAGGTAGAAGGAATGCCTGAGCCCAGCAGGCTGAGGCTGCGGTGGCCGTGAGCATGCCACTGCACTTCAGCCTGGGTGACGGAGTGAGACTCCAACTCAAAAAAATAATAAATAAATAATGTCTTAATCTATTATATATAAAAGGGAAAAAATCAGAACAAAGAAAGGGCAAGTTTATTTGAAGAGAAAGACACTAGTTTAGATAATTTTGTGTTACCAGAAGGGCATTTCTTAGGATGGTTGAGTTGCTGGTTTGTTTTTATTTTACTAATTAAATTTAATGTCACTTCAAGATTTAAGACTTTCTTCTGTCATTGGGAGGACTCACTAGGATCTTCCATAATAAAGAGAATGTTTGGGATTTGCGAAGAATACGTTCTCCTTTGCAAAGAAAAACAAATTACCCCCTTGGGTGAAAGATAAGAGTTGAAAGGAAGACGGTTGTGAAGCGTGATCTTTGTGCTCTGAAAAGTCCTCTTCTTCCAGGCTGGGTAGGCCTTCCTATTCCTCCACAGCACCAGACTCTCTCTAGCCTCAGGGCCTTCCTGTAAACTGCATACTATTCCTTTGCTAAGACTGTGAACCTTAGGAACTTCTGTTTAACTAAATAATAATATATTGCATTCAATACACATTCAATACACAACAGAAAATCCTGCCCCCATAATCCCACCCCCTGGTTTAAGTATGCTCAGACCTAGTTCAAACCTGACTTCTCAGGGAAGTCCTTTTCTATCTCCCAGAATGAGGTCAGGTTTCCCATGTGTACATTCCCATGATACCCTGCACTGGCATACACAGCATTCAGCCCCACTTGGAAGTAGTCATCTGTCTGGGTCTTTACAGCATCATGTAAGTAAGCATCATGCAGTGGGGATTGTGGTTATTGCAGGCTACTGAATGCCAATACCTAGCACAGGGCATGGCACGTATAGGTACTCAGCAAATGTTTGTCTGATGAAGAAGTGAATGAATAATAAATGAATGAATGAACGAGTGAATAAGCCAAACTAAATACAACATAGGGTGTGGGGAGGAAGCATCAATAACACACTGTCCTCCGAAGGGCAATGGAGATGGCCACAAATGAATGGTCATCTCCTCTGCTTGTTACCAATGGCCTCCAGAAATGCTGACGGGGAGGAGATACAGCAGGAGAATGTGAATGAATAAAACTTATTATTCAGTTAAACAGAAGTTCCTAAACTAAATGTCAAGGATTGAAAATGTGCCTGGACCTAAAAATATAAACTGGTACCCCAAACAGACTACAAAAGGACATGTCCAAAGAAACATTATTCATCTTTGCTGCAAAAAGAAAATTGAATGCATCTTCTCTCCGTCATCTCCTTCCATTTTGACAGTCTTTAATCATATACTTCTGATAACATCTTCCATAATTAAATATGACCCATGCTTACAGACTTTAATTACTGCCTCCTTAAACTAAAGAAAACAATAATATAAACCTAGTTTTACTCTACACGTATCTGAAAAAGGATGGCAAGAGGATACTGCCACATGCAAAGTTACTGATATGAATTAGGTGAAGCTAACAATTGTAATGGAAATTTGATTTAGCAAACTAGATGGATTGGGTAATTTGTCGGGTTTTTGTTGTTGTTGTTGTTGTTTAGTAGGCATCTCACTCTGTCACCCAGGCTGAATGCAGTGGCACACTCATGGTCATCACCACCTCGACCTGCTGGGCTCAGGCGATCCTTCCACTTCAGCCTTCCAAGTAGCTGGAACTACAAGCATGCACCACCATGCCCAGCTAATTTTTTTGATTTATGGTAGAAATGAGGTCTTGCCATGTTGCCCAGGCTGGTCTTGAACCCATGAGCTCAGGCAATTTTCTTGCCTCAACCTCCCAAATTGCTGGAATTACAGGTGTGAGTCACTGAGCCTGGCTAGGATTTGGGAATTTGAAGACCTATAGTCTATACCATTTTTCTAATCAAAGATTTAATTGATGGTTTGATTGATTCTTTAAGGCAAGCTTTTATAGTATCTCCAACATTTTATAATATACTTTCTAGAAGGCTCATTCTATTAAAAATAACAGTAGTTTTTTGAAATTAATCTATGTAAAATTAATTTTATAATATTTATAACTCTTAGCATGCTTTTGTTCTGTTCTGCTTATCACAAGAAATCTAGTACTAATCAAAGTATCCGGTCCAGAGAGACATGCAAAAAGACCATACCAGTTTTCCACAGAGTATTCCACACGTTTCTATTCCTCTCACTGTGTTTGACTCTGCCAGTTGCAGAAATTTGTGGCAAAGATCTTTTGATAGAACTACACATCGCAGTCCTTCAACTATTAAATCTAAGAAACAAAAAAACAGGAGAGCAGACTAAAAAACAAATCTTATATCCCATCTTTCAAAATTGTTTTTGGCAAACAATTGCATTAAATATAAGTTTCAAAATTTAAATTATCAGGTACTCTACTGTCCATATTTCATTTAAAAACTCTTAAAAGTAAGCATTAACTAAAAGAAAAGTAAAATTACATTTATATATAAATTATCTATATAAATAAATATACATACATACCTAAACATATACAAATGTTATAGATTTACATACATAAATATAAATAGATATACTCGTATAATTATAAATATAAAAGCGGGGAGGCGCAGGCACTTTTACACATTTGGGTCCTGGATCAACTATTTACATGCATGTTATATACAATTAATCTATGTAAAGTTAATTTGGCATAAAGCAAACATACTGTTAAATGCATAGGCTGCATAGAATGCACCTCATGTTTTCCAAAACATAGAAGAAATATTCTTTATTGTGTTTACCCATATTACTTATATTTTTATGAAAGTTGGTGATCAGTAAGTAAAAGCATAACATTTCTGGAAATAATTAGCAGCAAAATAACATACAATGGTTGCCTATCATAACTCATTTAAAATAAGTGGGCACACAAATTGTATGTGACATTGTCTGCCAGGAAGAATTATCTATTTGATTCTGGAAGCTTGCCAGCACTTATCTAGCCACACCAGGCAGCACTAATTATCGCAGAAACACATGATCCATACAGAGGGCAACCTTTTACATGTGTGAGTTTCTCTCAGTCTGGAGATAATGATAAATGTACTGAGCATAAACATTTTACTGCTGAGCAAAAATCTGGATAAACAATTTTCTCAACATCTATCCTTTCTAGTATAAGTGGTTGCCTTTAAGATGTGACTCTTAAACTACATGGAAGAAAAAAAATACTTGGAATTCTTCTCATTTAAAGTCTCTGTTCAATGACAAAATACATTCCCATTTATTATAGAGCCTCATCTCTATCAGGGGGCAAATCATATTTCCTGATTTTAAGGTTATATAAAGTGTGAGTGTGTGTATGTGTGTGTGTGTGTGTGTGTGTGTGTGTGTGTGTGTGTGTGTGTGTGTCTACAGAGGGTGCCAAAAATGTATACAGCTTTTAAGAAATGAAAAAACTATATTAGACTTGTAATACTCAATATATACCAATAAAAAAGATGAGTACAAGTCATGCTTGACTTCTGCAATTACAAGAGGTACTCAAAGTGGTTACCATCAGCGGTCAGACACTTCTGATTACGGCGAACTAAAAGCAATACATAGATAACATCGCTGAAAATGTGTATACATATTTTTGGCACCCCAGTGTGTTTGTGAATGTATTTATATATGCATATGTATATAAGATATATATGTTTGTATATATTATGTATTTTTTTAATATACGATACGTAGTACTTCAGAGAGTACTGAACAGTTAATTCTGTGACTCTCACCATATAATGCAGGGGTTCCACCATACTGGAGAAGGAAGTGAAGAGAGCCCTCACAGATGCAACATAAACATGGTTCCCTAAGAGGAGCCTCGGTGTCTTGTAGGGCGTTTCACTTACCCTGAACAGCACTTAGAGTGGCAGCTGGCGTTAAGGCTCTGTTTACTGGAGGAGAGTGGCTAGCGTAATTGGTTGCATCGCTTTTATTAGGTTGATCTGCAAATACATTCAGCAAAGAATTGTTCTGGTGTGTGGAAAAGCAGGACAAAGCACTCCCATCAATCTGCTCCGACAGCGCTGAGGTCTCCTGACTTCGCATCTGGCCTCGGGCTAATTCTTGCTTCTTGAGTTGATCTTCGAAAAACAGAAACTGCTCTGACTCCAGCTGCTGCTGGCGCATCTGGGCAATCCGCTTCCTTTCTGCTTCTATCAGTCTCTGATGCTCCAGTTTTTTGAGAATTTCGGCTTTATATTTGTTCTTAAAAAAATGTAGTCGTCAGAAGAAAAGGTTAGATTCTAACACAAAAATATCGAACAGGGGTTAGACACTTTCAATCTTCTAGCAGACAGAGAAAAAGTCAGACACTGCATACGCCCAAAGGGACACTCAGGGAAATACACAGCACCACGGCAAAAGCCCCTTGATATGATTAAGACAGCAGTTCTGAATCCACTCACATTTTACCAGAGACAGGCCATGACAATCAGATTCCCTCCACTCCCTTGTACTTTTAAATATTGGAAAATAAAAGTCAGGCTTGTCTGCTCACCCAGACTGATCACACCATGTGGAACAAAATATCTCACCCCTAGGCTGTATTTCCAATGTAGTAGCCACCAACCACATGTGGTTATTTAAACTTAAATTAATAAAAATGAAATGCAATTAGAAATCTTGTTCCTCAGATACACTGGTCACACTGAAGTGTCCAATAGCCACAAGTGGCTTCGTGGCTACTGGAGAACGCCAAACAACATTTCTTTCTTTTCCTTTTTTTTTTTTTTTGAGCTGGAATCTCACTCCATTGCCCAGGCTGGAGTGCAGTGGCACACTCATGGCCACCCCAGTGTCAACTTGCTGGGTTTAGGTGATCCTTCTGCCTCAGCCTTCTAAGTAGCCAGAACTACAGGCATGCACTACCATACCCAGCTAATTTTTGGTATATTGTAGAGATGAGGTCTTACCATGTTGCTCAGGCTGTTCTCAAACCCATGGGCTCAGGCAATCCCCTTACCTGGGCCTCCCAAAGTGCTGGGATTACAGACTGGAGCCACCGCGCCCGGCCCAACAACATTTCTATCATCACAGGCAGTTCTGTTGGACTGTACTGCTCTAGAACCTTCTGCATTGGTCTCTAGAACTTATGCTCTGCTGACCTTCCTGAAGAAGGGGGAATCACTAGAAAAGTGACTCTCAAAATACGTCCCAACCATCTTCATCAGAACTAACCAGGAATCTTTTAAAAATGAGGAGTCCCAAGCTTCCCAGTCTCCATAAAATACCCAGGTATTATTAGGTCTGAGAATGTGAAATTCTAATAGGCTCCTCAAATAATCTAGATGAAAACTAAATTTGGGGAGTTATTATAAGGTGGGGGGACACAGTTTACAGCAGCACTTCCATGAGTTACCCCAGGTCTTGTTGCAATTGCAAATCCTGATTCAGCAGGTCTGGAGTGGGGCTTGAGAATCTGCATTTCCTTTTTTTTTTCCTTTGAGTTGGAGTCTTACTCTCACCCAGGCCGGAGTGCAGTGGCACGATCACCGCCACCACAGCCTCGACCTGCTGGGCTCAGGTGATCCTTTCACTTCAGCCACCACACCCGGATAATTTATTTTTCGATTTATTGTAGAAACGAGGTCTCACCATGTTGCTCAGGCTGGTCTTGAACCCCTGAGCTCAGGCAATCCTCTCGTCTCCGCCTCCCAAAGTGATGGAATTACAGGCATGAGCCACCTCGACCAGCAAGATTCTGCATTTCTAACAAGCTTCCAAGTGACACTGGTGTTGCCCATAGCAAGGGGCTTACAAGCACGTCTGTTCATCTCTCCTAGGCTCAGTGCCACCACCCTACCCCTACAGAGATTTCTGCATGGATTGTGAAGTGGTTGTTAAATTGTTCCAGAACAGGAACAGCTGTCGAGATTCTTTCTCCCAGGGAGATACTGAAGGAAAAGATCATAAGGTCATACTCGTTGCTGAGTGTGGAAGGGAGACGTGAACTGGGCTTTTCTCTCCCTTACTGTTGCCCTGTTTTAGCCTCCAAGATCATTTTTCCCTTCCTGATTTCACATTAAATTATTACTATCCACACTTGAGGGAAACGTCAAAATTCGACATCCCCTTTACCACTTAGTTAAAACACCTCACTCAAACAATCATTCCAGCTATGACCACAGTCAAGAAACTCAGTTGTTGTTTTCAGAGCTGATGAGGTTGAACTGAAGTGAGAGTCAGTCAATGTGGCAACCTCCAGAGAAAATCAAACAAACAAACAAGGCAAAATGTATACTAATGCTATAAAAATTAAGAATTCATGTGTTGAACTTGAATCTCCCATAAACTGACTGGTCAATTTCTTTTTCCAATAGTTTTACATTTCCCAGACATCATTACCATGTCCAATAGTTTTACATCTACCAGATATCATTACCATGTTCACTATTAACAATCCAGATGCCACCATCTTTTGGTGATACGATTACATTTCACTCATATGGTTAGCTGTTACACTATTACAATGTAATACTAATATTTAAGAATCAAATTCACATTTTCAAGGCCTACATAAGTAGCTATACACTGTTCTCCCGACCTCCTACTGTCTGTTCATCTGGCAGAGTGCGGCCATCTGGCTCAAGGTTACACTGACAAGAGTTGGTCAAAAAGTTCTACTTAAATCAGTAGGAAATCTATTTTAAAATGCACTGCTTTGTTAGATGTTTTAGGGAAACAAATACCACATCTTTGGTGCAAGTGCTTAACCTGGACATCAACATAAAACTTTTATTGGTTTCACATCACTGCATCTTTAATTTTTAATTTAAATGCACATGACATTTGAAAAACTCATCACATAGAAATGAAATGTCAAAAAATATTTGCACAGAAAACAGTCATGAAATAAATGTACCAATTGGACTTACTTTGCTTTGCAAATATTCTTGGTATTCTACGTTATATTTCTTTAAAAGGTCCTTTTTCAATTCATCTGTCCTTGGGAATGCAATCTCCTTCAGTTTCTTTCAAAAATATATATACATATCGATTAGTGGGATTTTAATATACTCTTTCAGATCATCAGCTGAGAAAGATAAACAGCTGGTATGTGTATTAGAAATCAAGTCATGAGTAACCAAAAACGATGGCAGTAAAATAAATCTCTCTTTTTTTTAGGAGTCCAAAATATAACTTTCCAGCACAGAAGGAAAAAATACTACCTCTTTTGTAAGGGCTTTATTGACTCCACTGGTTAGATATGCATTTGGGGTTGGGCGTGGTGCCTCATGCCTATAATCCCAGCGCTTTGGGAGGCTGAAGTAGGAGGATTATTGGAGCCTAGGAGTTTGAGATCAGCCTGAGCAACATAGCAAGATCTCATCTCTATTTTTCAAAGACATGCATTTAGTTTAGCAGGTATCTCATTTTTAAAGTAATTAATTGCACATTCCACAGCACATAAATCACGTAGCATAAGAGTTAAAAAAAGGTAAGTAGGGATTCCTAGACATGCCAGGCTATAAAAAAAATTTTCCACAAAAATACAGATCTCCAGACCTAATTCTAAGATTACTGGATTAATATCTCCAGAGAAAGGGTCTGGGAATCTGGATCTCAAACAATTTACCCAGGGATTCTTAATGGCAGAAAAATCTGAGAAATCTGACACAGTCCAACTACCACTTTCCTTTTTAAAGATGGGGAAACAAAGGCCTAGAGAGATTGAAAAGTTTGTCTAGTACCAAACAACTAGCTAGTGGCCCAGTTAGGACTAGGACCCAAGTTTTCTGACTTTAACCAGGATCTTCCACGAAAAATTCTGTTCTCCCAGTCTATTGTCTTCCATTTGTTTATTCATTCATCTATCAATTTATTCACCAAGAACAAACAAGGGAAATGTCTATACTTTTGGAAAATTTTCCTCCTATAAATAAAAATAAGAACAATCCTAAATTATAGTATAAGAGTCACCTTGGCAGACGGAGTTTTGGTTTCCATACAGAACCCTCTGAGGTTGAATAAATAAGAGAATTGAGCAAAAATGCTACATAAAGACAAGGTAATGAATGGTACTTCAGGTAAGGAAGTTTAGAAACTAAAAATATGAAGATGATCATTTGTCAAAATTGGGTTCCACTTCCAGGCAACCACAGGCTTGAAAGGCTGGGTAGAGGAGTCTTCATTTCATTATATGGTGAAATATTTTTCAAAAGTTATTTAAAATTTCATGCTGTGATTGGCTTTGTATACATTGCTTTATCTTCCTTCATATGAGAAAAACACAAACTAAGACAAATAAATGGGAAACATTTTAAATGTTTATTTAAAAAGATATGCTCTCAGCTAGAGATATTTGAAATTATAGATACAGCAAGCTGATGAACCGCAACAATTTTATTTCCTTGATAGTATTTTACCCCCCCTACAACACTTTATTATTTGTAAGCCCAGTAATATAAGAGGTAAATAGTTACATCTTTGTGACTGCCTTAATAATCAACACTGATTTTCAAATAGTTACTGGGTTCAGGGTTATATAGAATAATCAAAACCAGTTAAATGACTGTCTCAAGTAAGTTCAGAGAAACATATAACCATTCTCTCAATATCTGGAAGAAATTATTTAAAAACACCTTCTTCACACCCATAAAATGACTTTTTCTTTGTTTCTTTTTCTCCAGCATCAGTTAGACACCCCACACTGGCTCAGTAATGATCATTTAATGTCTAAGTAGACATCGAAACATTGTGACTAATGGAATGAATTTCTTGTGCTCAAACTCTCAAGAGGAAGAGAAAAAAGAGGAAAGGGAGGTGGTGAATCAATAATGGATAATTATGGAACATTTGATCCCACAGTGGAGAATCATCCCCACAATACCTTAATAATGTCCTGCTTTTCAGGTGCTGCACATTTCTGGTAATCTCGATGACTAGGAAGCTTTTCTACAAACAAGCTGGAAAAAAGAGAAAACATGTTCTTAGGGTTCAAGAACAGCAAAAACCAAAAAATGGTTTCTAATATGATAATGAGCATTTTTTTGAAAAGTGAAATATTTAATAACTTGTTATTTAACCAATAGTCTTTTCATCTGCCTTTTCACTAAAGATTGACATTGGGTATTATTTGGGCATTAACAGTATTTAAGTGCAACAAATCAAGCACTGAAGCTAACAAGGTTAAGGTCAGGGCACTCTAAATAGACCAAGTCACTTTGGTCTTTCTCAGATACTGGGTCCTGAACCCCACTAGAGCACCAACTTACTTATGTGCACTGTTAGCAACAGAGAAGACAATTAAAAACATAAAAAGAGTTTAGGAAGAATGATGTAAGTCCCTTCTCACCCTTGAAAAACTCTCAAACAACCACTGATGAATCAGAAGTGACATCGTGTATATAAGAAAAATTCTAAACTGAAAATTCATGACTAAGTGAAATGATAATAATCCCTATAATTCCTATGAATTAGAGGTGCTAATTAGGAGTTAATTATTTTTCACCACCTTTTTGAGGAACAAGAGACAGCAGAAGTGAAGGGAAATCCCTACAACAAACCAGGTGCATTGCTTCCGCGTAACATGAAGATACCTGTTTCCACAAAAGCAGGGAATTCTCTATTTTATTCAGATGATAAATGCTCAATAAATATTTGAAAAACACACAAATGCCCTTCCTTAATAGATCATAGTAGGCTGTACAGGGTATTAAAATGTTAACTCTTATACTTTACTAATTCTGTTGTTTACACATCACACACATATATTCATCATTTCATTTTACCTGATGACAAGGCTATAGGGTAGACAGGAATGGTGGCTTAACTCCCATTACTCAAATGAGAAAATTAAGGTTTAAAGAGGCTACATAAAGATTGTTAGCTACCAAAGGCTTTATGAATAGAATAAAATCACAGATGTTTAGAGCTGAAGGGACCGCAGATATTTTCCTTCATAAGCCTTTCATTTGTAGATGATCAATTAAGGCCCAGGGAAAATAAGTGAATTACGAATTATCCCACCACTAATGGCACAAGAGAATTCCAGTATCCTGATTATGCAGTGATTCAAAGGATGTATCTAATGGCCTTTCTCCTTCACCACACTTAGGATTCCATAGGGGCAGGTGTAAAACCAGAGCAGGAGTTGAAAACAAAATATCATCAACTGGTAACTTACAGTTCAGAAACAAAGATTTGTAGAAGATGCTGACTATCAATGGTGGGGGATAACCTCCAGTTTCATATTTATTGTTTGACTTTCTAAAATCAAGTACTTTTTCCCAGATGGGGTGAAGGCTGTGGACCATTCTCTAAATTTCCAAATTAAGTAACTTAAATAAAATGCAGATTTCAATTCGTATACTATGTAAACTGCTTTTAGTTTTGTCTTTGGTAGAATCCTAGAATGCAGTTTTTTAAATATTTTGTCTTTTTGATTTCTTAAATGTTCTCAGGGTAAGTCTCCAATTAAACTAGTAAAATTATAAGTGAAGTAAGTCAGGCATATAGAAACAATGCTGCATGACCTCACTTATATGTGGAAGGAATCGAAAAATGTCCAATTCATAGAAGCAGAAATTAGAATGGTGGTTACCAGGGGCTGAGGGGGTAGGGATAGTGGGTAGGCGATGTTGCTGGTCAAGGAATAGGAAATTTCAGTAAGAGAGGAGGAATACGTTTAAAAGAATCAGTGAACAACATGGTGATGATAGTTAATAATAATGTACTATTACTTCAAAATGAGTTTAAATGTTCTCACTACAAAACAAAAATATTGATAGTAGTGGACATGTTAATTAGTTTGATTTGGTCATTCAGCAATGTATCCATACATATATCAAAACATAATATTGCACACCACGAGTATATACCATTTTTATTTTTAAGTTAAAAATAAAACTAAATAATAAAAATAAACCAGTAGGCCAGGTTCGGTGGCTCAGCCTGTAATACCAGCACTTTGGGAGGACAAGGTGAGTGGATTACTTGAGCTCGCAGGTTCGAGACCAGCCCGGCAACTTGATGAGACCCTGTCTCTACAATAAATTAAAATTTTACCTGGGCATGGTAGCATGCGCCTGTAGTTCCGGCTACTTGGAAAGGGAGGCAGAAGGATCACGGGAGCCCAGCAGGTCGACAATGGGGTGGCTGTGAGTGTGCCACTGCACTCCAGCCTGGGTGACAGAGTGAGACTCCAATT